CTTATGCCCCATTGGAAGGTTTACAAATATTAGTTGTTTTGAACTATTGATAAAGCTCAAGCTTCAAAGTTCAGTAGGTCAGTTTTGTGTTTGCCAAAAGAAAATTTATCACATGAGTAATATTCTCCATCAATTTCATTAATACCATAACAATTGTTTATTAAAATTTCCCCATAACTTCACTTTTATGGTGTTTCTAATTTCCTTTCAATGATGATTTTTATGAGGAAGAACTTGTAATTTTTTTTAAAGAATTCCCCCCCAATCCCTAGCCCGTTGTTGTCGTGGGGGGCTTAGGAGACAGAGACTGAGGCCCAATGCAGGGAATCTCTTTTTTTCCCCCTTTCTTATCTTCCCCAACCCTTCTATCCAATTCCTAAGGTGTAAGAGCCATGTTGAAAGGATGAAAGGCTGACCTTGTGCCAGTCATGAACGGCCTCAGAGAGCCATGGTATTCCTTGATAAATCATTAAGCCCTTACCCCTTATGGGGACCCTGTGGGGTAGACCTTTTACTTTTCCCCACATATCAGGCTAACCATGGCCAGTAATGAAGATTTTGTACCCTTATTAGGGGCACTGAGGCTTACCAATTTATCAAATAGCCTCTCTGAATCGAACTCCTCTAGTTTACCAACCCCTGACTTCCCTTTGACCATGGCTCTGACCACTGTTAGTACACCTCCCTCTTCTTTACATACTGCCAACTTGACCCATCTCGAATCATATACCCAGGCTACAACTCAACCCTTAAAATATATCTCAGCCTCACTTCCAACATCTTCCAGCCCACTTCCTGAACAATCATCTTCACATTCTACCTCCTTCCTTATTACAACTCTTCAACCTTGTTCCACAATACAACCTCACTACACACCACTCCCTTCTCCTCCCCCTCCACAATACAACTTCACTTCACACAACTCCCTCCTCCTCCCATCCTCGTCCTTCTACAATTCCCACTTCCTCAAATCTTTTGAGTAATCTCTTTAGACCAACTAAGTGGGACCGAATTTTTGTAGTTCTGCCAACAGCCACTCACTCCGATAATACCCTATTCTTTCAACAATGCCTCCAAAAACAAGTTGGCAAAGTTTCCTTCCGCAGTCATCCTGATCGCTCACGCTTAATCACAGTTACATTTAAGACTCAAGCCAAAGCACTCTCTACCCTGGTTGACCTCACTGGCAAACCTATCCCTGTCCAACCTCACCCCTCCCTTAATACATGTACTGGAACTGTTTCCATTTCCTCAACTACTTGCTCTGTCTACGGAAAAAAGTGGTCAGACTGTGAAAAAGACCTGCTTGCCTGCCTCACTGAATACGATGCTGTATTAGTACAATGCAACATTATTCCCCCCAGAGGCAAGCGTAAGTCCAGCATCAATATTGCTAAGATTAAATTTCGTAGACACGACCTTCCCCATAAGGTTTATGTAGGAGGGGAATCTTGTCCTGTTAGACCATATCAACCCCCACCCTGTCAATCTCAGAAATGCTGGCATTTTGGCCACCCTGCACTGTCACTCCACAGCCCACTGCCCACTGTGTTCTCTACCTGGTCATGACTGTTCAAACTGCCCTGCACAATCACGTACATGTGCTCATTGTGGTGGACCCCATAATGTATTTTATAGAGGCCTACTGCCTCCAAATTTGAGAGTGAAGTAGCAGTTCTCAGATACAAATTTAGCCTCACTCTACAAGAGGCAAGACAAGAAGCGCGACGACGAGGTTTTTCAATCACTCCTTACTCCAATACCTTACTTCAGTTCACTTCTATCCACTCTATGCAAAATGGTCTCTACATGTTCGCACCACCTTCCCCTGTTCCTCAACTTCCCACCTCTCCTACCCCTATCTCCCAGTCAATTCCCTTTTCCATCCTAAATCCAGATACTCCAATATCCATGACGTCCCCTATGTCACTTCCTACTTCATGCCTTACCTATCGCATCAGACAATCCAACCCCATCCCATCTTCTACCAGATCCCGTCTCACACCTACACCCTCAAACCCTCAGATGCCGATCTCCTCTTT